TCGGGGTCTAGAGCCGACCATAGAGTGGGCCCCAAGTTTAACATCGTTGTCTCAAACATGTACAGCGAGGCTTATCAAACCAGGGAAATATAGTGTTTTAATTGTTCGTAACCTTTTCTTCCAATTTGGAAAAGTAGCATTTTTTCTTCTGCTCAAAGCGATTTAATATTATGTCGACGATATAATTGTATTATTGTTTTAATTTTATATTAGCTCCACTATTATATCTCTGGCCTCGACATTCACCAATCTTATTGCCATATTTCTCGAGTAATGCTGGCAGTCAAGCTAAATATCTTTGCCTGTTATGTATTTAGCGATACAAAAATTCTATTACACATCGACAAAGCGCACAAGCATATATATATATATATATATATATATATATATATAATATATATATATATATATATATATATATATATATATATATATATATATATATACATATACATATATATATATATATAATTTATGGGGGCACCTTCCCTTGGGTTTGCCCTGGGCATCAACATAGCTCTACACGCCACTGGTTTTTATGATTCTCATCAGAAGGTATGTCGCTTTGAGCTTTTATTGTTTACACTGGTTTCTTTGGGCGTATGGTGAATAAACGTGCATTTTTAATGAGGTTTAGTTGAAGCTACTTACTCCACTTGCTCTCTCTCTCTCACACACACACACACACATGCACGCACACGTATTCACACTCACTTACAAACGACAAAAATATCCCAAAGCATAAGATATCATTATATCTTTGACAAATTAACTCAAACAAATACATCATTGTATAATACATACAGTATATTGCATACAAGATATTAGTCGACTGAACATATTTTTATTGATTCTAGCTGTATACCCGTGCTCCGCCACGGAAAACCTTTTTAAAATGTAACAACTTGAGAATAGAACAAAACAAAACAAAACACAAACACAACACAAACACAACACAAACACAACATAAACTCAACACAAACACAACACAAACACAACACAAACACAACACAAACACAACAAAACACAACACAAACACAACACAAACACAACACATACACAACACAACATAAACACAACACAAACACAACACAAACACAACATGAGGCCTAGCAATGGACAGCGTTTGAGCCTGCGGTGAAGAAAAAAAATATCTTTCTATATACTACTAAAACTCAAGTTTGTTTACATGTTTGAATATTTTTTTTTGTTTGACTGATTGACTATTGTAAATGGATCTACTCTATGTGGAGAGCTATAAAATAGTATGTAGGTAGAGAACATTTTTTTGTTTTCAGACAGACTGTTATTAAAAAATTTATTTAAAGACGTTAATTAATTTATTGATTTATTCATAGGTAGATTAACCACATTAATTTTAAAGTTTTAGAACAATGGCATTCTTTGACTGAATAGTGACGTCACAAGTTTTGTTTACTTTTTAGTACAATAACATGGCGGCTTCGATCATGGACTTTGTGGCCCATTCAAAAGTTTAACGCGTTCTACAGCTAATTTTCTGTCGGCCATAACTTTAACAATACGTCCGTTTGCTGTTTTTATTACGTTCCAACACTTTTATAAATTTTCAACTGTCTTTTTCATTTAGTTTTACAATAAATTTCTCTAGCTCTACGATCTGCCCAAGAAAGTTATTTAAAGATCTAAAAATATCATGTGGCCAAGCAAGTTATTTATCGATCTAGATCTAGAATCTAGGTCAAACCAAAGATTAATTAGACACATACCAAAGATTAATTAGATAAAAATACAATCCATTTTTATAATCATAATACATTTTTTAGTCCTTAAATACTTGACATAAATCTTTGTGATTTATCTATCTAGATCTAGACCTATCTAGCTAAAATAGGCCTAATGAAATGATTAGATCTAGATTCTAGATCTAGCAAGAGTTACGCAAAAAACTAGACTTAAGACTTAGCAAACGAGTCGTAGAATCTAGATCTAGACAATTCTATCTAGATCTAGATAATTTCAGACCTTCATTATTTTATATAAATCTTTGTTTGGCCAATTTAAGATAAAATTTAATTTGAAAGTTACTACTACTAGTCTTAGATCTAGATCTATGAACTTGGCGGGATACAGGGCAGGTGAAGTAGAGTTAATCTGTTTCTTTGTCCTAAGCATATGAAGGGATAGTGTGGTCAGAGACATGCTCAGCTGGAATCGTTTTTTTTAAACGATAAAAACATGTTGTCTGAGACTTGGTGGGACACAGGGCAGGTGAAGTAGAGTGAGTAGGTGTTTTTAAAAGATAAAAAAAAAACATCTTTTTGAATGTGGGGTATGGTTTTTTGTGACGATAAGTGACAGACGTGATGTATTTTATGGATGATCCCCGAAACTCACAGTTATCCAACGGATGATGGGTAGTCTAGTTTCTATTAAAAATCACAAATGTTCTATAGAAATGCAAAATATTTTGATATAAACCAGAAACATTATTATGAACAAAATTAAACCAAATCTTCATTTAAAAATAGTGTGGTTATGAATATGCCCAGCTGCCTTCAATTTTCATAAAGAACGACAGGTACTCATTACAGCTGGGTGGACTCGGGGATGCCCTATCAATCACAGTCCGGTATCCGAACTTGAGGTCGTTCTACCATGTCGTAGCGTAATTTAATTACAATCAGACTAAAGGTCTTACTTGATTTGCCTTCAATGTAACATCAACTTTTATATCTTCACTTTAATAAGAACAAAGATAATGATAATAATAATCACTTGCATAATTACAATGTGAATTGTATCAATTCTTCAGCTCAATGAAAAGTAAAACAAACCTTCATGCTAATTATTTAGTTAGTATTAAAGGACACGCTTTTAGAACTTCATTCAAGAAAGCTAAGTGATTGATATTTTAATAGATAGATAGAACTCACACTCAGATGATGCGAAAAGCTTTGGTTTTGTAAAAGGGGGTACCTTCTTCAACCAAATATTTTTTAGCAAACAGAGAGAGTCACAACCAATATTTTTATTATTTCTTTTGAAGTAAAGAGTTATCTAAAATTAGGCAATTTTTAGACGTAAATGCTCAGTAGTTTAAATTATGTAGAATTGCATTATTTAGCAGCATTGCATCATGATATACAAAAATCTTTCTTGCTATGATCAAATTTTGATATTATTCATTGATCCACTCATAGTTACTGTGATGTATTTGTTTATATAAAGTGTGTGTGAGAGTGGCCTCCCCTTGTAGTGGTGTGCAAGCGAGGGAAGAAGTGTGTGAACTGTAGTGTGTAAGCGGTGTGTGGTGTAGAGCGTAGCATGTAGTCAGTGGTTTTCGTCTCGATGTTCACTGTTTCTATGTAGAAGTTACAAGATTATATTTGACTGTTATAAATGAACTGTGGATTCTGTTTTTGATTTGTGTTGTGCCTTGTTCCAACATTAAATGGAAAGCTGAGCATAACAGTTACTCATTCTGAGTTAATTTGAGCTCAATATTTCACTTAGGTAAAAGATAATCTGTTGTTGAATGAAAGCCCTGCGTGTTCAAAAATAGGGGGTGGGGTTCCATGTTCCACTTTTGTTTTTCAAACGTTTTATCCATAAATATCTTATTTTATGGTTTATTATGCTTTCATATATTTGATAACAAAAGATTCTGGGAAGTTTAAACCCTATCTACCATGTAGTTTACAGCTATGATCATTTAAAAAAAAAACTTCTTCACAAAAGTTTAAAAAATTCTGTGTTAAAAAATGCACCTTTTTAAATAGGAAAACAAATAACTTTTAACCATTGGAAATACATAAAAAACGAAAGCTTTTCTATGATTGTTATGTTTTTACTCATTTAACATGCAGTCAACTCATTGCAATCAAATTTTTTTTTTAAATTTTATCCTAGTAATTATACCTCACCTTTAATAAAAAAAATGTAAAGCATCTTTCATGCCTTTCTTAATAGTGTAGCGGGTAAGCAAAGACGGTCAGGCATATTTATTCTATAATTCTGCTTGTCTTAATGCTTGCGAGGGCGAGCTAATTCACTATGTAGATGCTAGCTGACTGAATAATATTGACTCGTGCTTTTTTTCAAGAGGCGTCAATCATCAACTCATTTGTCAGAATTCGACCGGAGTTATTGTTTTATAAATCTAAAATCAGCCCATTTTATTGTCCTAAGACAAAGCTGTCCAGACTATTTATTTTAGGGAGCGTTGCCTTTATGTAAAAATGTATGGGGAGGAGGTGATGACAGCTGGTATTTTTACTAAAGTAAAACTCGTGTTGAATATTGTTTTTTAAAAATTGAAATAAGCTTGTGATTTTATAATAATTAAAAAAAAATGTTGCTTGAAAGTGAATTTTACTATGATTGAAATAAAAAATTTGAAGGTCCCCTAAAAATCGGGTCCCAGACTTTAGCCCTTTAAGCTTCCCCTTTCCCACTTAATTGGAGACGGAGTGGTCTAGCAGTAGAGAGTTGGACTGCTAAACCGTAAGTCTCGAGTTCGAATCCGGGTTCAAGTTAGTAGAACGTCCCTGAGTCCACCCAACTCTGATGGGTACCTAACTCACGTTAGGGAAAGTAAAGACGGCTGGGCATAGTACTGACCACACTAACTCTTCATATGCCGAGGTCACAGAAACAAGTGAACTCTACTTCACTTGCACCATAGACCGTCAGGTTTGAAAGGGAAACAAACTTTCCCACTTAATCCGCTACTGGCTGTCATTAACATGTACGCAGTTTGTTCATGCTGCTAGAACCAGTTTAAAATGGACAAAACTGTTAATCTCCATATGCGATAATGGGTTTCAGCAAAAATACACTAACATTACAACAGTATTGTATTCCTACGCCCGTATTGAGTATCCCCATGATGTGTTCCTCGAGTATAAAGCAAAAACCGGAACTGAAAGTAAATTTAACTTAAGAAAACCTAGTGTATTCTGATACGGTTTTAAAAAAAAAATGTAAACAATAAGAACACTCAAATGAAAAAAAGAGCTGGGATATTTAACTGTGTTTTATTATCATTTTAAGAAGCAAATTTTATTTTGTATATTCATTTTAAGCATTTTGTGTTGAAACATTACTTCACAAATTCTGGGTTGTTTATTTTACGAAACCTGTGTGTGGCCTTCTGTAAAAAAAAATTAAAATATTTGTTCAGAAAAATATACTTAGTTCTATGTTATGTTTGGTAATAAATTATCAGTGATATTTCTAAACTGTTGGTAATATTTACAAGTTTAGATGTGAAATTTGTCCTTGCAATATTGGCTAACTAAAATTGTATTGCGGTATGAAAATAAATATTATAAACGTAAAGGTTATTCACTACGATAACTTTAAATATTGCACTAAAGAAATTTTAATTTATATTATGACATTTATTAAAATGATATTTGGTAGCTATTGATTGATAACATATAACCCTGTTGCCTAAAAGTGTAACATAAATAACTAACCAGATAACATAGTTATTTAGCAGAAATGTCAAAAAAGGTGACATGTAACATATCTGAGCACGTAAAGAACCCAGGACGGATTCCCATGCAACACTGGCAAAGACCCGAGCACCATTCTCGCCACAGTCAGATTGTATAGCCACCCTTAAGCATTGCTTTTCTTCTGTAGGGTCGTTGCTGTTTGCAAAAAGTTTTTTTAATGTAATGTTTTATACTTTAGACTAAATGATACTAAAAGAAAAAAAAACACGTCAAAGTTAAGTGCTGTTCACACGTGACACGGTTGGTGATTTTTTTAATAAACTAAGACATACTTTAATTATTTTTTGATTCTTTAATTCACGCACAAACCAGTGGTTTAATTGATAGCAAGAAAGGTGTTTTTCTCTTTAATAATACTTATGTTTACATAAAACATCCGCAATTTTGCATCCATCCATACTTGCAAACTTTAATCTTGGTGTCTATACTTTAAAATAACAGTTGAAGGCATTTTTTTTAATAAATATAGGATTTCTGGTTTTATAAAGTATATAAAGGAATTAATGTTCTAATACTATTATGGATTTTGTCCTAAGAATGAACCCAGATGATTTCTAGAGAATGGCGCTGAACAGGACTCTACAAGGAAAAAGAAAACAAGGAAGACCAAGGAAGACATGAAGGCGCACAGAGAAGAAGCAGTTGGCAGAGGCAGGACTGTCGTGGGAAGCTGCAAGGAAAATTGCCGGTGACTGACAAAAGTGGAGGGAGCTCTCCATAACGGCCCCGTGTGTCTTGGACACACGAAAGAAAAGATAATGATGATGATTTTGGGTTTTTGTTCTATACCTTTATCACTTCAAGAAAGAAAGTAGTACGCATTTTAACTAAAGTGTACATTCTTAATTTATACACAATATTAGAGTTTACCCAAATACACTATTTATAATTCAGATTAACTTTTTTCAAATTTTATTCTCTTTTTTGAATTTAGAGAGAACTTCATATTATCTGTAACAATGATATGTTCCAAATTTCACTAGCATATTATTGTGTTTGATTATGTACGTATCTGTATATTAAAGGGATAGCAATGGTATACAACCTGCAATTATAGTTGTCGTAGTCAGCATCAAAACATGTTTCTATAGCATCCAGTACCCTCTCTTTTTTCTCCTCATCAATCAGACACTGCGAAGTTTCGAGATCTTCAACAGCTGGTCATAGTAAAACCAACAAATACAATTTGAATAATATAATCACACAAGTTTATACTTCTTTAAAATAAATTTTATTTCCATAACATCAGCGTAAACATAGGGTTTAGAGTTTACACTTGTCATCATGCATGTTTCTTAAGAATACCTTTTAAGTCATGTAATAGTTTGGTTATTATCTATATCTATCTACAGGGGCTTAGCGAGGGGGAGGGGGTGCGGACCGCACCGGGTGACACCATTTAGGGGGGTGACACCAAGGCAAAAAATAGCAAAATATATAGAGAAAAACTCGAGGGGGGGTGCAAATCGAAAGTTTGAGGGGGGGGGGGGGTGTGCAAATCGAAAACTTGAGGGGGGTGCAAATCGAAAATTTGAAAGTTTGTCCCTGGGAATGGTCTCTATGCCTCTGGGGGGTGACACCATTAAGTGCCGCACCGGGTGACACCCGACCTCGCTACGCCACTGTCTATCTATCTATATATATATATATATAAACAATGTTTGTGTGTTTTTGCATCTGTCTGTCTGTCTGGATGTCTTTTATGCGGTACTACACCTTTCATCCGATAACCATGAGACTTTAGAAGTTGTTGAGAATATTCCTGAGGAGGTTTCTGCGAAAATAAAATTTCAAATTCGCAGGGATGGCGCCCCGACTGGGCACGATTTGTTTTTTCTCTATAAACGGTTTATAAAAATAAAAGTCGATTGCAGTTTCACAGCGTTTATCCGATCGCCATGAAACTTTGGGGAATTGATTAGAATAATACAGGAAAGGGTTCTGCAAAAAAAATATTGTTGTAAATTTGCAAGGTCGGCGCGATTTTTCTCTATATGCGGTTTATAAATAATAAAAGTAGAATGAGGTTTGACACCGTTTATGCTAGTGCTATGAAACTTTGGGTAGTTGATGAGAATACTCCCGAAAAGTTTTCTTGCGACTTTTTTTAAACTCGCGGCAACGCGCGTGGACGGGCACGCTAGTTTAAAATAAAACAGCAAAAGTGTATTTACCGGACCTCCCTGCATCGTTACAAAGTATGTTGCCAATAGTTTTTATGGTATCTGTGATTACTCGACGTGATGTGAAACTGCAAGAAGACTGGTTTCTGTCCACACACAATTTGAACTCGTCAAAGTCTCTGAAATCAGTTGAAACACTACATTTTATGTAGGTGTAAAAACATTTTGTAAATGCGGTGCTCTAAAATTAGGTATTTCTAATTTTTTTTTAAAATTACCTCGCCAATGCGTAGCCTAGCAGCCATTCTGCTTGGAATTAAAATCAGTTATATTGTGCAATAGCAACAACACAGTTTATTTAAGAGTGAAACAATTTCAAGTGGATAAAGTATTTTTTTAAATAAATTATAATTAGAAAATATTTAGTAAAAGATTACTACGGTTAGAAAAAAATGACAGTTTGTTTTCTGGACGAAAGTCTCAAAAATATCGCTAAATTTAACCAAATCTAATGAGTATCAAACACACATTAGGATATGTAAAGACAGCTTGCTGACTTTTAATTATTAAGTACCGAGGTCAGAAAACCAGTTAAATTTAACATCATCCGTTCAATCGAACATCTGATTCGAAATGGTGATTTTACCCTTAAAAAGTTACTTTAATGTAAAGGTTTGAAAGGTTGATGCTAAATAGCTCCAAATCATTGTTGCTAGAAATTATATTTTTTAAAAATGGAATTTTCTATAACATTTGTGAAATAAATACCAAATTACTACTGGCTTTATCTTAATCTCAACCTCAGACTTAAGCTCAACCTCAAGTTTAACCTCAGCATCATCATTAATATTAACGCCAACATTAACATTAGCAACAACAATAACCTCAACCGAAATATAAACCTGAACCTCAACCTCAGCATCAAACTTAACCTTAACCTCGAACTCATCATCATTCTCCTCTTCTTCATCTTCATCCTTAACCTCAAAATCAACCACAACCTCTACCTCGACCTTAAATTAAACCTTAACCTAAAGCTCAACCTCATCCTCAACCTCATCCTCATCCTCCTCATCCTCATCGTTAACCTCAACCTCAAGTTCTATTTTTTTCATCACAATTGTAAATTCTAGTACAACATTCAGCATTCAACTTTAACCTCAACCTACACCCAGCTTATACAAACACAACACACACACACATATATATATATATATATATACATATATATATATATATATATATATATATATATATATATATATATGTATATATATATATATATATATATATATATATATATATATAAATATATATTTACGTTAATAAATATATATATATGTATGTATATATATATATATATATATATATATATATATATATATATATATATATATATATATATATATATATATATATGTGTGTGTATTTAAATACATACACCTGCATATAATATATATATATATATATATATATATATATATATATATATATATATATATATATATATATATATATATATATATATATGGGATACCATATTGAAAGTTCGCCCAGTCGCCGGCAGAGGTTGCTACGCCTCTGCTTTAGAGAAAGACATACTCTCTAGTAACGCTCGCTTGCAATGTAAATGGAAAGAAAACGTTTTTGAAACAAATCACTCGTTACTCACGAACATAAATCTGCAACCGTTGAGTTGTTGACAGGGAATCTGGGGTTGTCAATAAAATTATTAACCGCTGGCACCCAGCACGGCCAAACTGGTTCACATGTCTCAGTTTCCTCGATAGAGTTTTCGCCACTTTGAGCATCTTTAAAATGCATGGTTATGTTATTAATTCCTTTGAAAATATTATTTGCTGTTTAAAATGTAAAAAAAATATATCGTTTAACTTTTCATTATTGTTTATTTTTTAATTAACTTTTATTAATTTTATATTCAAACACATTAAGAAGTTAAATGCATTTTTTTCAAACATTGGGTATTGGTTTTCACTATTTGCTATTGCACCGAGATATGTTTAAAATTCTGGTTCTATTCGGAAAATATTATAATTTTAAAGTTAACGGGGCCTTATGTGGTGATCGGCAAATATTGGTGCTAAAATGGCCACTCCAGATAGTGGCAACCCCACCCCCCCTCCTTCCCCTCCCCCTTCCGCGGAACTCGTCCTTATACTTTTCAACATAAAACATGTCCTTGAGCAAACAGTGGCGTAGCCAGGATCGTCTCAAGGGGGGGGGGGGGAATTCCAATTTTTACCCTGGGACAAGCTTTCGATTTGCACCCCCTCATACTTTATATATATATACCGAGGGGTATATGGGGGAGGGGGGTTATGACCCACCCCCCTAACCCCCCCCCCTGCCTACGCCACTGTGAGCAAATATTATTATTGACCCACACAACCCTGTTCCTAAATCACACTGTAGAAAGTAATATTACTTATGGAATCAATTTATGAAAAGCGAAATACTTTTTAAAATTATATCGTGTATGAGCCGAAGGAGGCGGCGTGACCTAGCGGTAGAGCTCAACTGCTAACCCAAAAGGCTCGAATTCTAATTCGTGTTCCTGAGTCTACTCTTCTCTAATGAGTAACCAACTAACGTTAGGGAAAGCAAAGGTGGCTGGGCATACTACTGATCACACTATCTCTTTTTATGCCGAGGTCCCTGAAACGTATGCACTCTACTTCACCTGACCCATGTGTCTTCAACATGAACGGGAAAATATGATGAAATGAGCCTACTCCTATTGCAAATTCTAGGTAAATAAAGTTATATAAAGTTAAATGTAAAATTTGATGTTGGACAAATTTCCTAAATCCAGCAAGTCGATATAGAAAACTATTAGTGTTAAGAATTAAACTAAAGACGACAGTAAACGCTACATGATTTTAAATGAATGAAACTCACCATCTATAGAAACAACTGTGCTGATTATCAGCAAGACATTCATCACGCTGCATAGAAGGCCATAATTCATCTTGGACATTTTCTAGGCTTGGAATTGAAAAAAGACTCTTACATGGTGTTATTTATACAGACAGACACACAGACAGAGACAGAGTAACATGTGCTAAATTATCAAGAAATTACCCACTTAAAATATGTTCTGTCTGAACGTGATCATCGCCATTCAGATATCGTTCACATGATTACGACATTAAAGATTAGACAATTATAGATTCAGCACGTGCGTTTGTTGGCAATGAAACGTGAAACTAATACGCTTGTCTACCCAGACCTAGAATATTGTGTAGCAAGTCTAAGTCTGCGAAATCAACAAATCTATGTTTGTTACGATTGTCGGTGGTAAATGGTTAAAGAACCCACCAAGTTAAAGTTAGAAATGGTAAGTGTACCGATATACTGAAAAAAATCATTATAAAAAACTATTTTGAAAATAATGCCTGCCGAACAAGAGATGCATACGTCGTATTATTTAAATATATATGTCTTGAATTATAATGAGTTGCTGGTTTTTTCAAAGTACAAGAATCCTCTTTAGACCCAGCATTCATTTGTTTACCTCGACATACGAGGGGATGGTGTGGTCAGCACTTTGTCTAGGTGTCTCTATTTTCCCTAACACGAGTTAGGTACCCAACACAGCAGGGTGGAATCAGGAACGATCTACATACTTAGACCCGGATTCGAACACGAGACTTTTTGTTAGCAGCCTCGCACTTAACCGTTTAGGTCACGCTGTAAGTAGATGTGCATAATAAAAAATTAACATTTACAAAGAAAATATTTACTTAAATAAAAAAGTATAAACAGATACCCTATCCATATCAGCATCTTGTATTCCGAATACTGTGGTCTTCTTAGACATGTCCTGTCCTTTCCCTATCTCCTGTCTTAGGTGGATAACTCTGTCTAACCATTTTATTTAATTTTCATATTCACCCATAGAATCTGTTTATAAAGCATCGTATTCTTTTCCAGTACACCTTTGTCGACAACACGCTTTCCTCATTGTACAATAGTACATAATTAAAATTTAGAATTAAAAAATTGTTGTTGTTTTTTAAATTTAAATTACCTTTTAATTTTATTTTATTTACTCTTATCATGAAGCTGAATATATTTTTAATTGCTTTATGAACTCTAATTTTTCCTAAGTGCTTTGACCACAGGTGCTTTGACCATAGAGGTTTGACCATAGGGGGCTTGACCACAGCGGGGCTTTGACCACAGAGGGGGGTTAATCATAATATATTGATTTTAAAATATAAATTAAAAACTGTTATTAGATTTAAATTTATGATACAATTAATACGATTGTATACATTGTTTCCAGAGAGTACTTTAATAAAAAAAAGTCAAGAACGATATTTTAGTCTCCACATATATTTTAAATATAAATGCAACACAAATAATTCGACATATAACAAGTTTCACAAATAAATAATGTAGATGTACTTGAAAATACATAGCATATATAAAGGATAAAAATGATAAAAACTTGCCAACAAAATAGTCAAAGAAGTAATACTTAAATAGTTAACTATAGCACGCAAATATGTCAGTACATCTGTTTGACCATATGGCTGGACAGCACGTTATACTTTTTCGTGCAGCATCTTGTATCGCTTCTCAGCTGGGTAGCTGATTTAACATATTATTACATCCTGTCGCAATATAGAATATAATTTAGCAACTTTTAAAATAAATTCTTACCATATATGGACAGCATTGAACAAACCACCTGAGATCAAAGACCCTATGTGGATAAAAAACGTGTGATCAAAGCTGGACACAGCGCTTGTGATCAAACACCCGTTGACAAACCGCATGTGATCAAAGACCCTCTGCTGAGAAAACACATGTGGTCGAGCCCCCTATGGTCAAACCCCCTATGATCAAAAACCCTATGGTCAAAGCACCGCTATGGCCAAAGCCCCGCTGTGGTTAAAACCCCTATGGTCAACCACCTGTGCTCAGGTCAAAGGTCCGCGCACCGTCCTCATCAACTATACTTCCTCCCGAAAATTTAAGCCCCCCCCCCCCACCCCCGAAAATTTCATGGTGATATCATGAATGATGTAGTAATGCATAAGAGACTCAAACATGTTTTTTACATCTACAGCTGTTTGTGTCCAACTCAAGCTTCAGATAACCTTCTGATTTAGGGAACATCCACAAATGACGTCATGTTTTTTAACGATTTACAAAAACCAGACCCCCACAACCACCCACCCCTTCTCCTAAATGATACATTTATTAGTAGCCATTGACAATAAATAATGTTTAAATAATTCATTTTTTAATGAATAACCTTTTCTGCACCTACTTTTTTTTTAGAAACCAATCACAAAGACATAAATGAAAAAAAAAATTTAAAGTTCATAAAATATTAATTATGGTCGGCTCTGGGCCCCATCCCCCTCCACTTCGCAATTCGGGGTCTGGCTGCTTGATATTTCCGCCCTGGCTGGGAAAAAAAACATAGCCAACTCAACTGTAAACTACACCAGGGGTCTCCAAACTACGGCACGCGGGCCGTATGCGGCCCGCGAGGTCCTCTCATCCGGCCCGCGGAGATCTTTTTCTCCCCAGAAAAAACGTTTGTTGGTGATGGCTGAGCAACTTTGCCCAGAAAAATCAAAGACATGTATGGAAGAAACTGGCCCCCGAACTGAAATTTGATAGTTAATGTGGCCCTCGGACTAAAATGTTTGGAGACCCCTGAACTACACAATAGACGTTGAAATATCATTTTGCATAAAAGTATAGACAATTTTCGGCTAATCGCTACTTGGATTACTTCAGACAAGCACTTATCGAGTATACACACTAAAGACCCACAGTGTAACTAGTTGAACACAACCATACATTAAAACAGGGGCTATATTTTTATTTATTCAAAGAGCTTTAAACAAATATTTTAAATCATTGAGAATTTAATTTAATACAATCATTAATTTTCTTGAGTGGTTAAATGCATAGGTTGACGTTCTCAACTGGCTTTTAGTTGCTTTAACCAAAAGGGTTTTGACCACAGGTGCTTCGATCTTACTTGGTTGACCCTAGGTGCTTCGATCTTACTTGGTTGACCAATGCGGCTATATTAATATTAAGTTCCTCTACAGCTGGGATAGCTGACTGGACAGCAACCACCCCCCCCCGGCAACACACACACACACTTGTTAATGTCCACTGATTGTCTTTTATGAAAGACTTGCTTGGGAAATATATCTGCATTTGCAAATCTGGCTAAATGAACGGCATACATTTCGAAGAAACTTCGAATTTTTTCAATAATGATTAATGTAGTTAAGATATATTAAATTAACTTATATAAAAAAGTGTTTAATTCACACATATGAATATTTTGCAATAAAAAAAAATTTAGTTCATATATTGTGTTTTTTTAATTTAAGATAAATATTCATATCTATACCATTAATTTTGGAATGCTGTTTTCAAATGTATATTGTGATTACTTCTATATTCTTTATTACTTTTACAGTCCTAATTTTAAAAGTCAATAACATGTAATTGTTGGCATTGAAATGTATTTCTATATTATTATTCGCTGTCATTAACATGTAGGCCTACACCGTTTGTTAAATTTTTAAAAATCAGTTTAAACTGTACAAAACTATGTATCCTTATGTAATAGAGTGGACTATAACATGAATACACTAACATTACATCAGTATTTTATTCCAACGCCCGTATTGAGCACCCACATGATGTGGTTGTGGAGTAGACAGCAAATACCGGAAGTTAAGTAAGTGAAAGTAAATGCACTTAAGAAAACCTACTTTTGTATTCTGATACTATTTTTAAAAAAACCCATTAAACAATAAGAACTATCAAATGAAAAACAGCTGAAATATTTGACTCTATTTTATAATAATTTTTAAGAAGCAAATTTTATTTTGTAAATCATTTTTAAGCATTTTTTGTTAAAATATAGCTTAACAAACGTAAATTCCTTGTAAATTTGTAGGTTGTTTTTTTTTACGAATCCTGTGTGTGGTCTTCTGTAAGAAAAATTTTAAAAAATACGTTCAGAAATACATATTTGGTTCTATGTTATGGTTGCGAATAAATTATCAGCGATATTTTTAATATGTAGGTAAATTTACAAGTTTAGATAAAAAAAATATGTAAGCTTACTTGCAATATTGGCATATATATATATATATATATATATATATATATATATATATATATATATATATATATATATATATATATATATATATATATATATATATGATATATATATAAATATATAAATATTTATATTATATGTTAAAAGCGTAAAGGTTTCTACCAACAATAAACTGTAAGTGATGTACTAAATAATATTTCATTTTATTTAGACAATTATTAAAATAAAATTAGGCAGCTATGTATTTATAAGATATATAAAAATTAGTCTTAAAGTGGAACATAAACAATTAACCAGACTCACCTATTTAACACATGTGACAGATACGGTTACTGGTTACATAGGAAAGCATATAAAACACCCCGGTGGTATTCCCATGCTACATTGGCATAGACCCGAGCACCATTCTCGCCACAGTCCCCTTGTATAGCCTCCCTTAAACATCGCTTTTCTTCGGTAGGGTAGTTGCTGTTTGCAAAATGATTTTTAAAAAAATGATTTATAATCTAGATTAAATGATACTTATGGGAAAAAAAACACGCCTAAGTTAAGTACTGTTCACACTTGACACAGTCGGTGATTTTTTATATACAAAGACATTAATTATTTTGCGATTTTATAATTTACGTTTAAAAAAGTTTAATTAAAAAATCATTATTAACTTGGCATTCATAAATACTTGCAATCTTTAATTTTGATGACTGTACTCTAAAATTATAGTTGAATGCAATTTTTTACATAAAAAATAAGATTAGTGATTTTTATGGATTAAATGTGGTATTTTTGTCGTTCACTAAATTGAATCAGGCGCGTCAGACCTGAACGCCTACGTTCATTTAAAGAAAAGTCATATAATAATGGCGATATGGGCAACAATAATCGTTAACTATATCGAAACAGGCGCGTCATACGGGGCGATTAGGCTGTTCGGGCTCACCAATGAGCTCCATTGCACATACGTTTATTTTAAACAGCTCGAAAGGTTATGGATCCAATGGGTTACTATAATCGCCCAGTAAGGAATTAATATTCTAACACTATTATGGTTTTTGATCTAACAATGAATCCTGACGACTTGGGCTAAAATAGCGCTCAACAGGACGCCTCAAGGTAAAAGAAAGCAAGAAAGACCAAGGAAGACATGTAGGCGCACAGAGGTAAAGCAGCTGGCAGAGGCAGGACTCTCATGGGAAGCTGCAAGGAAAATTGCCGATGACTGACAAAAGTGGAGGGAGCTTTCCATGGCGGCCCTGTGTGTCTTGGGCACAGGAATGTAAAGATAATGATGATGATTATGGTTTTATTGTTATTTAGTTTTAACATTTCAAGAAAGGAAAGTAGTACACATTTTTAAGTTTACATTATTGTTTTGTACCCAAATACACGATTTTTTTATTCAGTTTAAATTATTGCAAAATTGATTTCCTTTTTTGAAGATAGAGAGAGAGAGAGAGAGAGAGAGAGAGCAAAGGAAAGTTTTTGAATTGTAATATTTAAGTGTTAAAGTTGGAACCTTATATTATCTGTACCTCAGTCTTAAATTAACAATGAAAAGTTTCAAATCTCAGTAGTCTGTGTGTGTTTAAGAGGAAAACGCACAAAAATATATTGTTTGATTATGTAAGTATCTATGTGTTTTGAATGAATAGCAATGGTATATAACCTGCAAATGTTGTTGTCACCGAAAAAGCATGTGTCTACAGCATTGAGTACCCTCCGTTTCTTAGTCTCATCAATCATACACTGCGAAGTTTCGAGATCTTCAACAGCTGGTCATAGTAAAAGAAACAGATACAATTTGAATAATATACTCACACAAATTTTAACTTCTTTAATACAAAACCTTATTTCCATAATGTTATCCTAAACATACGGTTTAGAGTTTACACGTATCACCATACTTGTTTCATGGGAATACAATGCAGTTGATGTAATAGTTAGGGGATAATTTAAAATTAAACACATCGAAAGTGTATTTACCGGACCCCCTGCGGCGTCACAAACTATATTGCCCATATCTTTTACATTATCTGCGACAAGGTGATAAATTACGTTACTGCAAGCAGCCTGGGTTCTGTCCACACACAATTTGAACTCCTCCAAGACTCTGAAATCAGTTCAAACACTACAGTATATCTAAGGTGTAAAAGCATTCGGGCTTTCGATTTTTTGTGAATAAAATTACGCGTCTCGATTTTACAAAACAGCCTCGCGTTAAGTTTGGAAAAAATGCGTGGCAAAGCTTGTTTACTTGCAAGCAAAATCCGTCACAATAGGCAACTACATTAAGAATGAATAGGTTTCAAGTCGATGAAGTATTTTTAAACATGTTTTGATTATTAGAACACTCGACTAAAATCGTAGAAATGCAAAAACGGGGTCAACCTCTTCCTGATCTACATTATCATTCTCTTCCCCATCGTCAACATAATCCTAATCCCAACTATAATTCTAATCCTCATTTTCATGTTCATCATAACGTTACGCTAGTCGCCCATTAACCTCATCATTACCCTTAACCTTAACTTCAACCTAAACATCAATATCAACCTCAAAACAAACCTCAACCTAAACTTCAATCTCAATCTTCATCTAAACTTTTTAAGTTCAAGTTCAAATTCAACTTTTAGCTCAACCGTAGTCTCAACTTCTATCTCAACCTCAACCTTGGCTTCGACCATAAACTCACCCTCAATCTCAACCTACTTATCATCACTAGCATCAGGCTCATCTTCAACATAATTCTCATCATCCTTATCTCATCGTATCGTCATCGTCGTCATCACCTTCAACTTCAACTTTAACCACAATAACTACCACTACCAGACTCTCAAACTATCCCCAGCCCGAATCATATCCTTGGCTCTAAAGAGAGACAGACTGCTCTTATTCCAACTCTTGCAATGTAAATTGCAAGACAAACATTTTGAAACAAATCCCCTCTTACTTACGCACAGAATTCTGCAACCGTTGCGTTGTTGAGATAGAAATGTGCGTGGTCAGTAAAATAATCAACTGCCGGCACCCAGCATTGCATTATTGATTGACATTCCTCAGTTTCCTCCTTGTAGTCTTCGTCACTTTGAGCATCTGTGACATGCATGGCAATATTTTTAAATATTTTAAAAATAACATTACACAAGTGGTCTAAAATGTTATTGAAAAAGTATATTATTCAACGTTTCATTATTGTTTATTTTTAATTAACATTTATTGATTTAATAGTCAAACTTTAACAAGTCAAACGCCTTATCTATTTTCTTCAAATTTTTAATTTTGATATTCACTATTTTCTATATTTTTCATTGAGTAAGGAAAATACAAGTATACTTTTCAGCAGAAAATATGTGATTGGGTGATTCTTATTATTGAACTACGATCTGGATAAAAAATGTCTTAACTAACGCTTTAGGAATTCATGCAAATCATCTGATCATTTTACGAAAAATGAAATACATTATTAATTAGTTCGTATATGAGCCGAAGGGGACGGCATTGCTAGCGGTACAGATCGAGATTGCTAACTCAAAAGTCTCGAGTTCTAATCCGTACTTAAAGAACGTTAAGGAAAGCAAAGGCTGCTGGGCTAGATGTTCACCATACTATCCATTCTTATGCTGAAGTCACTGAAAAAGATAAACTCTACTTTATCTGCCCCTTGTGTCTTAGACACGAAAGTGAAAGTTTGAAGATACCTTAATAAAGTTAAAAGTAAAATTCTACTTTGGATAAAACTCCGAAATTTACTATGCAGACATATAAAAAAATGTTTTAAGAATTAAACTAAAGACGGCAGGAAACGCTAAGTACTACAAATGAATTAAACTCACCAGCTACAGAAACAACTATACTTATTATTAACAAGACATTCATCACGCTGCATAGAAGAACAGAATTCATCTTGGGCATTTTCTGGGATTGGGATTAAAAAGACTCTTACATGGTGTGATTTATACAGACAGACACAAGGTAACATCTGCTAAATTGTCAAGAAATTACCCATTTAAAATATGTTGTTTCAGAACGTGATCATTTTATTGAGATATAGTTGAAAGACAAAACAGTAATAATCTTTTTACAATTTTAGAGTCAACATGAATATATGCTGGCAATGAAACGTGATATTCACATACACTTGTGTACTCTAAATTAGGTTTAAATGTAGCCTGAAAATGGCAAATAGCTACTGTTACGATCGAACTTTCGTACAACTCCAAACACAATTCAAGGCATGTTCAAACCTTATTTTATTTTCTCATCTCCCCGATTACACTATAAGCCCTCCACCCTAGCCGCTACCAGCAAGCCCCCTTACAAACGTTCACTCCAGTTTTTCTACCCGCACTTGAACTTGGTATAACAATCCCTAAACACCCCAGGGTTGGCTCAACTCACACACGCCTCTCCTCTACGTTCTAGATTATTCTAACCTATTCTTCTGATCTAACCTACAACGGACCCGTAACAGCTACATTGTATTTGAAGAGTTGATTTTCAAAACGCGATAAGCGCCAATTTTGAAAAAAAAAAATGAGATAAGGTGTCCATATTGTAAAGCTACTCAGTTACTATTAGGAAAACTTAATTTTAATCTTCACGGCGCAAAATTTTCATTTTATTTCTATTTTTGAAAAAAACGTTTGGTTTCAAAACGCGGCATTGTCGATTTTATTTAGCGTCAAAATGCGGTATCGATTTGGACCAATCCGTGTAAATATTACTATTTATCTGCGCATGCGCATTAAGCATCTCCAAGTGAAACAATTGTTAAAATGGCGGACTTTGATGGTGACGACGAAAGTGTTGTACTGACATTTAAGTCCAAAAAAAAAGAAGAGGTTATGCACAGAAAGAGAAAAAGAAAAGATCTTTCGTCATTCAGGAGGAGGAATGATCCCGTCCATTTCGTGTAATCATATTAAAGTATTCTGCAAGGTAAGTTGTAGATAAAACTGTAACTTATCTAACACTAGGCAGGCCTGAGTTTACTTTTTTTTAAACACGATAGTATTACTAGAATTTAGATATCTAGCTTGTTCTTTTATTTGTTGAGTGAAGTTTTGAATGTAAATGTATGAATACCAGTGACCAGTATGTCTAGGCTACTGTCAGCTCTAGCTTAACATTCCAAAAGTAAGGAGAGATTCTAGATCTAATTCTAGACTAGATTATCTACTCTACTACATATTCTAGATCTAGTATCTAGGCCTACTATTTTTTCTAGCTAGACGAAAGTTTTAACAATTCTAGTCAATATTATATCTAAACTTCGATTTATCATCTAGGTTGTATGTCCTCGTTTGTCTAGTCTATCAATAACTTTAAGCAAGGCAAGGGGCTAGCCCTAGCTACTAGATCTAACTAGTAGTATAATTTTTAATATAAAATTAAATCTTCCATTGTAGCAAAACATACATTTGTATTATTTATTTCAGGCTCAAGATATAACACCTGATGACCTGGTGAAATGCCATGCAGAGTTTTACAGCAAACTGGACAAAGTGTCACAAGATGCTGCTATAGTAGCTTTGCTTGATGCGGACACCACGAAAAGAGTGAATGATCAGAGGAAAAAAACAAGACACATGACGATCAAATACTTTCTTTGTAGTGATGGAAACAAGCTGCAAGTTTGCCAGTCTTCTTTTTGTTCAGCATTGTGTACATAAATAGCTTTACCTTCAGTTTGCTATATTGGATTTGCTCGTACTGCAGTTACTGTCAATAAAAAACTGACTATTGTCCAGAGGTTTATCCGATTATGGAAATTCTCTTTTTTCAATGTTACAGTGGAATTATCTTAATAATACATGGTTAATATATCCACTTTTTTAGGGAAAAACTGGGATTCATTCAACACAAAGGAGCCTGGAAAAAAGAACTGTGTAAAGGTGGCTAAAAAGACAGATGTTCTTTGTGTTCTCGAAGCCGTAGGGGTGGAAGAGAATAAAGATTTCTTATGAGGCACTGCTATGTGATGCTACTGAGGATGTTGCTCATTCTAACTCTGATGTAGATAGTGCCTAGTTTGTCTGAGTTATTTATTTTTTCTTGCTTCGCTCATTTTTGTTTTCAACCTTTTTTTTTTTCATTTCATACTATTTCTTTTACATTTTATGATTGTAGTATAAACTAATAAACTTTTTTTCTTCTTTTAAAACTATTTTATGTTGACTTTTTTAGTTCTTTAGACTTTGTTAACACAGTTCAACATTAGAAAAGACAAGCTGTACTCTTCAAATTAAAGTCTCTCGTTAGAGACTTGCATCATTTTGAAAATGGTTCAAATAACTGAAATTACTCAATAAAAACATTTTATAGTAACAGAAAAACATGGTACAATTGTAGTAAGATGGTAACACTGGGAATATAAGTGGGTTTTAATAAAATAATAAACTAAAATATTGGACATTAGATGTATTATCAGAAAAACAAATGGATATACAGCGTTTTGTAGCTTAACAAAAGCTGGATATACCTCATTTTTGCAACTAAACGCAAATTTTGGGACCAAAAAAAAGCATCTTTTTATACAGGTACATTTGAAAAGCCATTCTAGTCCTATTTATATGAGGGTTATGAACCTAAATTGATAAACAGTTTTAGCAAATTGTACAATGGCTTCGTGTAGGAGAAAAATGCGATTTTCTCGAAACCCAAATTTTGGATATATTGCATTTTGAAAATCACCTCTTCATTTGTTTTAAAACATACATAAACAAACACACAGACATAGGCCTACACATTTCAGAGGAGTTCTTTAAATATTATTCTTCTTGGTCTTTTCCAAATATCTGATTGCTGATATTCAATTTTAACCATCCTTCTATGCTTTATTAACTATTTTGTTTCCGTTTTTTTCTAACACACTATTCATTATTAATTTCATGCCTTTTTATAATAGGCATTTTTTCATGAATGTGTGTGTCTTGAATTGTAATAATTGTCTAAACCATTTATGCACATAATTTAACGAATCTACTGATTCACTTAAACTGGTCCCGTCTTTTCCTAAATTGCTAAGTTAGGTTGGCTACGCCGTCTAACCATTTTATCTATTATTCACTGTAAATATCTACCTATAAAGCATTGTATTATTTTCCAGCCCATCTAACTTTTACAGCCAGCTTAAAATAAATGAGAATTCCGCCAGAACTGAGAATTCTCAAATTTGATTTTTTAATTAATTGTATTTTAATGCTATCACAGAGCTGCAAAAATTTTAACTGTTGTATAAATTGTAATTTCTTCTGCAATTTTGTTTGAAGTTTAGAGACAGTCTTTATTGACTACACTACCTAGATGTGTAAACGTTTCAACCTTTTTCCGGGATCCTCCCCTGTGTTATTTGTGGTTTGTGAAGTTTTACTTTTAGCCTGATCTTCTTCTTTGTCGTTCTTAATTGCAGTGTTGGAAGTGATTCACTCCTACACAATTATTTGTTACGTGTCCACTTATTCGCCGTTGACTCAAATTTTAGCCTGTTATTCTTTTTGTGTTAGCTTTCATCGCCTTTATGCAACCTAGAACAAACTATCAAGACAGCAGGTGTTTATTTTTGGAGTTGTCTGACCTAGATGAGTAGCATTCCCCTATTGTGGAGCCTATACTGCCCGGGGGTTCGAACTCGAGACTTCTTGGTTTAAATACCATGAACTTTATCGACCCGACTACCTTACCCAGAAATCAAGATCAAATGACTCTTTTCGCCTACCTGTATGAATGATGCTACATTTCTTATTTCAAAAAGTAGTTTCTATCATGTCAATTTTTCTGTGGAAAACCATGGCGTAGCAAATTTTCCTAAATGCATCTTTTAAAGTATACTATTTATTATTTTCTTTTGTGGTGTAAAAGTATTTTGTTTAATACGAAATTGAAATCACGAAAACAGACACTTAAAGTTTTTTTTCCCCAATCCAACAGTGGCAGCTATTCTAGCTGTTAAATGTATCTTTAATTTTTAAAACTAAAATTTCTTGTTTAGGTTTTTGTAAATTCAGAATCTTATAACAGCTTTTCATGTAAAGCCCTCGCAGTAAGGTAAGGCAGACTTGAACGGGGTCAATCAATATTTAAAAACTGCATTAAATGATTTCAATTTATTATTACTTTAAATTAAACTTTGATTTTAAAATTACAAGATTTTTTTAGGTTTACAATTTATCGCTAGGCGATGTGTGGGCTCACGTTTGTAAAATATAAAACTTAGATACCGCATGTCCACATATGTTTAATTTAGATGCTAGGCAATTTTAGCGCTGAAATTATTGTAAAGTTATGCCTCTCAATGATATTTTACTTGATACATTGATTGTGCAATAATTATTGGAAAAACCAGCTAACGGATGGTTAAACTCATAAAAAAAAAGAACTTGAAATATCATTTTACGTAAAAGTACTAATTCGGCTAATTTTTCCGTGGATTACTTCATACACGCAATTTTTTGTATATAGAGTGTACACAACAACGGCCGATAGTGTAGCTAGAAACATGTTTATAAACAAAATCATGAACTAAAACAGGGGCTATAAATGTGTTATTTATAAAGCTTAAAAATTATTATAAATTCTTGAAACTTGCATTTAGCACTGTTATTAATTTTCTTCAATGGTTAGAGGTATACTCTGACATTGTAAAACGGGTTTTTGTTTGTTTTCACAACAAGGGCTTTGACCACAGCGATACTCGACCACATTTAATTGAATTATTAACTATTCTGGAGAGACTGCTTCTCGTTGATAAAACACATGTGATATAGCCCCTGTCCCCAACCAAAGACTTAAACACCCAGGAATAAACCACCTCCGTGAATAGAAAACACACACATATGCACCCGCATTTAACAAGATTAAATGACACCCATTTACAAAGACAACACATTACATTAATTGATGTTTGTTAAATTTCATAGGACAAATTATGGTCGATTTAAGTTACGATATACGAATGTGCTACTCTGAAAAAATCATCGCTCATAAATTAATGTATAATTTACTTTATGCACTGTATTTAGCCTCTGGATGTTGTTTCATTGGTTAGGCGTAGGTTGTGTTAGTTTACAAGAAATGCAAACTTTCAAAAAAAGAGAATGTATATGAGTTGGGTTTGTTTCGGGGGGTGAGGGTGAGTAGATTGTGACGTCTTTTAACGAGTGAAAGCCTAGCATTAGGATACGATGACCTACATGAAGGCAAGGGGATTTGTTTTATGTGTAATTTATCAGTGTTCGCAAGATTTACGTTTGGTAATTTAGTATAAATTATTTAGATTTAAAAAACAAGATATACATTGCTTTTAGTATACAGGCAAAGTAGTAGTGCCTATAAATTATGTAATTCGATGCGTTTTTTCATTTAAGTAAAAATATTCATGTTTAAACCAATACATTTTAGGTATTATATTTTAGTATTATGAGTAAAGTCCTAATTTCAAAATTGCTTAACATGTATTTGTTGGTATCGACATTTTTCATATTATATTATTTGTTTTAATTAACATATGCAAGGTTTGTTCTAAACCATTAAACCAGTTCAAAACTGTAGCCTATATAGTCAATTATGATAGAGTTAACTACAACGCGAATACTCTAACATTACACCAGTATGTTAATCCAAAGCCTGTTTTAGGCACTCACATGATAGGGTCCTGACAGCAAAGACCAAAAGTAACATATAATCCTATAACTTTCGTGCCAAGGAGACATGGGTCAAATGAAATAAAGGAAAATTTGTGATAATATAAAAAAACACATTAAAACAATAAAAAAACTAAAATGAAACACAGTCAGGGTATTTAATTGTAATTATCATCATTTTTTCAGAAGCAGCATTTATTTTATAAATAATGTTTAAGTCTTTTATGTTGCAATATGACTTCACAAATGTAAATCCCTTGAAAACTTTAGGGTTGTGTTTAAATTGCCAACCCTGTGTGGTCTAAATAAAAGATAAAATATACATTCAGATTAGTATGCTTAGATCTATGTTATGGTTGGTCTTAAGATAAGAAGTATGCATATACGTACTTGCAATATTGGCCATTTAATTTTTTTTATCGCAGAATGAAAATAAATTTTATAAATGTGAAGGTTATCCATATCAATAACCTCTTAATTTAGTTCTTCATAATCTTTAATGTACGTTAGGACAATTAATAAAAAAAACTATTTTATAATGATGCTTATTAGAGTTTAAGTTGCCAATGATCTATAACATGTACCCTGAGTAGCTTAAAAGTGTGATGAACCAAGACTCACTTATTTGACAGGTATGACAGACATGGTTACTGGTTACACAGCTGAGCATATAAAACACCCCAGTAGTATTCCCAAGCTACACTGGCAAAGACTCGAGCACCATTCTCGCCACAGTCCCCTTGTATAGCCTCCCTTAAGCATCGCTTATATTCGCTAGGGTCGTTGCTGTTTGCAAAAATATTTTTTTAAAATAATGATTTATACTTTAGCCTAAACCATACTCAATACAAAAGACGCCAAAGTTAAGTACTGTTTACACGAGATACAGTCGGTGATTTTTTTTATATACATAGATATAAAGTAATAATGTATCGATTCTTTAATTTTTATACGCCCAAACCAGTTGTTTTATTGATCCGGTGTTAGAGCCTTGTCGTGGTTTGGCAGCTTGTGTATCCTGACCACCCCAGAGCTATACCAGCGGGAGTGTAAACTCCTAGTAGGTTCAACCAAGCTGGGAAGGTCTGCGCGTGTAGGGATCAGACCAAAGCTAACACCCTGGTCCTCCAGGTTGGGGGTTGAAACATAAGGCTAGTAACCTTATCTCGTAAAAAAAATATACCGCTACAGAAACTGCAAGTACACAAATCCAGCACCGGCTTGGTCATGATGCCTACTAGTGAAAGCCTAACGGAAGCTAGTTTGAGGAAAAGGCGAAAACAGCTGGGCTCTCATTAGCACAGATTGGAGGAGCAGCCCAAAACCGAGTCCGCTGGAGATGTGTGGTTGCAGTCCTTTGTACCCCAGGGGCCACAAATGAGTGATGATGATGATGAATGTTTTATTATATATGTAAGATTACTGACGCAACAAAGTAGATTTGTATATTTAGGATATCACATTAATATGGTTTTATTTGTAATTGAATATGTAACATTTAAAAAAGTGAAAGTAATAAACAAAGTGTATATTACTTTTAAAACACAATATTAGAGTTTTCATTAATACAATAAATTAAAAATAAATTATTGCAACGCTGATTTTTTAACATAGCGAGACAGACGAGATTTTAATTTTTTGATACTAGAAAAATTAAGGTTTAAGATATTGATAATATTTATTTAACGGTAATCTCCATCCTTAATTACATATAAATAAATTCACTTTTTAGTACCCATTGCGTGTTTTGTCAGATACATACTGATAACGATATGTTGTTTGATATTGTACGTATCTATGTCTTTTGATCTAGAATGGATATAAATGAAAAAATACCTGCACATATTGTTTTCACCACAAAAACCCGTGTCTACAAAACATTATTAATTTTTCATTCATGGTTTTTGTCCTAAGAATGAAAACTTACAACTTCGCTGGAGTCGCTCAAAAAAGAACGTCTCGAAGAAAAAGAAAACAAGAAAGGCCAAGGGAGACTTGGAAGAGCTTAGACGGAAGCAGATGGCAGAGGCAGGACTGTCATAGGGGGACTGTAAGGAAAGTTGCCGGAGGCCGACAAAGTGGAGGGAGCTTTCCATGGCGGCCCCGTGTGTCTTGGGGCACGAATAAAAAGATGATGATGATGATGATTATGTTTTTTTGTTATTTAATAGTTGTACACATTTTTAAGTATACATTATTGTTTCAATCAAATTAAATTATTGCAAATTTAATTTTGTTTTTTGAATATAGATAGATCATTAGAAAGTGTTTGAATTAAAATATTTAAGTTTTAAAGTTGGAACTTCACTTTAACTGTAATCTCCGTCTTAAATTAACAATAAAATTCATATTTTGAGAGGAATACTTATGACAATATACTGTTTGATTTTGTAAGTATCTATGTATTTTCAATCGATAGCGATGATATACAACCTGCAAATGTGGTTGTCACCGTAAAAACACGTGTCTCTAGCATCTTGTACCCTCCGTTTCTTCTCCACATCAATCATACACTGCGAAGTTTCAAACTCTTCAACAGCTGGTGAAAGCATCAGATACAGTTTGAGTAATATATTTGCTCTTATTTTAAGTGGAAACTTATTTCCATTATATCTTCGTAAACATAGGGTTTAGAGTTTACATGTATCACCATGCTTGTTTCATGGGAATACCATGTAGGTCATGCACTGGTTAGGGGATTATTTTAAAATGAACACATCGAAAAAGTAATTACCGGACTTCCCTGCCGCGTTACAAACTGTATTGCCCATAGCTTTTACACTATCAGCTTCTAGGTGATTTTCTCTGTTACTGCAAGCAGCCTGGTGTTTGTCCACACACAATTTGAACTCGTCCAAGACTCTGAAATCAGTTCAAACACTACATTATATATTAGGTTTAAAAGCATTTGGGCTTACGATATTTTTTTGTAGACGGTGCTCTTTTACAAAATAACATCGCGTTAAGTTAGATGTAAATGCGTAGCCAAGCAGCAAAGTCTGAATGAAAATAAATTCCGTCATATTAAGCAAACACAATACAATGTTTTAAAGAATGAATTGGTTTCAAGTCGATTTTTAAAATGTTTTTGGTAGTTAGAAAATACTTTGTAAATAAAATGTAATTTAAATTTGGGCGGAAAGTTTTGGTGGTAGAGAGTTCAGGTTCAAACCTGAAAATGTCATGTTCATTATAAACGATTTTATGTTTAATCCAAAGTATGAAAACGATTATAATCGATGGTTCCCTAACACATTTAATTTTTACAAATGTAACTATAATTTTATTGCTTAGATAACTTTTTAAAAGATTAAACAAAAATAGTATGATTATTAGACTGTTTAAGTCTATTACTATGTAATTTAAAAACAACAATTATCAACAGTTCTGTAGGTAATGTATCTTGCTATCTGTGTTTTGTTAATTTTTGTAGAGTATACTTTTAAACACACTAGAGAGTTCGTAGTCATGCAAAAACATTCTAATCCTAATCCTAATCCTAATCCTAAGCATCAGCGTCAGCCTGAGCCTTAGCCTCAGCCTCAGTCTCAGTCTGAACCTCTTTCTTACATTATCCTCATCATTAACTTCAACCTCAAACATAACCTAAACCTCAATCTCAACTTCAATCTTAGCTTCGACCTCGACATTCAGCATCAGCCTCATCCTGAAAAACAATCCACATCCTAGTCATTTAATCCTTATTTTGGTCATCATATCCTCATCCTTAACTTTAACTTTAAACTAAAACTAATCCACAACCTTAACAACCAACTACCCCAGCCCTAGTAATAGCCTTGTCTATAGAGAGACGCACTGCTCTTATTCCAGCTCTTGCAATGAAAGTGGAAATAAAAATTGTTTGAAACAAATCACTGGTTACTCACTCGCAGAAATCAAAAACCGTTGTGTTGCTAAGATAATATGGATCGTAAACAAATTCATCAACCTGGTCGTTCCAGCACCGCAAAAGTAATCGACATTCCTCAGTTTCCTCGTTGTAGTCTTCGTCACTTTGAGAATCTTTGACAAGCATGGAAATGTTTTTATATATTTTAAAAAATATCATTTTAAAAAGGGAAATACAATGTTAATTAGTTCGTATATAAGCCGAAGGAGAAGGTGTTGCCGAGCGTTAGATCTAACCCGAAAGTATCGAGTTCTAATCCATGTTCCTGTGTCCACCTAACTCTAACCTGAATAACGTTAGGGAAGGCAAAGGCGGCTGGGCATAGTACTGATCATAGTATCCCGTCATATGTCGAGGTAGATGAAACAGATGAACTTTTCTTCATCTGAAACATGTGTCTTCGACACGAACTGGAAAATATGATGAAATGAACCTAACCCCATTGCACACTCTATCTAGATGAAGTTAAAAATGTCTATGTTGGACAAATCTCCGAAATTCACAATGCCGACATGTAGAAAATAGTTTTAAGAATTAAACTAAAGACAACAGGAAACGCTAAGTACTACATGATTTAAAATGAATTAAACTCACCAGCTACAGATACAACTGTGTTGATTATCAGCAAGACATTCATCACGCTCTTTAGAATGAAAGAATTCATCTTGGACATTTTCTGAGCTTGGAATTGAAAAAGACTCATTCGTAGTGCGATTTATACAGACAGACACAGAGTAACATCTGCTAAATTATCAAGAAATTAACCACTTAAAATATGTTGTTTCTGAACGTAATCATTTTATTGAGATATCGTTGACAGACAAAACAGTAATAATTGGTTGTCAATTTTAGAGTTAACATGAATCTATGCTGGCAATGGAACGTGATATTCACATACACTTGAATACTCTAATGTAGTCTGAAAATGGCGAATGGCTACTGTTACGGTCGACCTTTCGTGCAACTCCAAACACCATTCTACAGATCCTCATCATCTGAGTCATCAGATTCTTCTAGTGCCTCCTTGGCATATTTTTCAGCTTCAATATAAACTTCAGGTGGAACAAGTTCATGCCTATTTCCCATATCAGCTCCAACCCAACTAAGCTCTAGTTCAAATGATTTGTCTTTGACTTCATCATGGACAATGTAAATTATTTTTGCAACTTCTTTCACAAGTTCTTTAATAGTCAGGTCTTTCATCTTTAATTTTTCTATTTCTGTTTTGGCATTTTGTTTAGCTTTACCAATTGCACTTCCATGGTAACCCCATGAAACCCCTGATGGTTCTACGAGATACATCTGAGGACCATCCTTCTCAATCGAACCAATAATCAAGCTCACACCAAATGGACGTACAAAACTGTACAAAGCGTGCGCATGTACATAACCAGCAACACGTTCTGTCAAATGTTTAAGAAGTATAGCATCACCATAACTACTTCTGTAGCTTGAAGCTTCAACCCTGGCTCTATCAATCAAATGTCTAGCATCAGCATTGAGTCCAGCTACAGCTGCACCTATATGACGATCGATATTAAGAATTCTTTTGTTGTCTCCTTTTTCATACAACTTTGAGGTAATAAGCTTTTCTACTCCAAATACAACACCATCTTTTCCTCGTATTCCAATAGCAGTTCTACTATTTTCTATTACTAAAGTCATTGTTCTAAAGTTATAAAATTAATGTGGTTAATCTACCTATGAATATATCAATAAATTAATTAACGGCTTTAAATTAGTTTGGAATTAACAGTGTGTTTAAGAAGGAAAAATATTTACCACCCAAAATCCTATTTTACAGCTCTACACATAATGCAGATTCTCCCTAATAACAAATCAGAAAAACAAACAAAAAAAAATGAGTAATCAAACATCACTATTCAGTCATTGTTAAGCCATTGTTCTAAAAATTTAAAATTAATGTGGTTAATCTACCTATGAATAAATCAATAAATTAATTAACGTCTTTAAATAAATGTGTGATTAACAGTCTGTTTGCAATCAAAAATTGTTCTCTACCTACATACTATTTTACAGCCCCCCCCCCCCCCCCATATAGAGCAGTTTCCTTACAGTACCAAATCAGACAAACAAACAAATAAATATTCAAACATGTAAACAAACTTGAGTTTTAGTAGTATATAGATAGATAGATATACAATATTCTTCTTGGTCACTGCAAAATATCTGTATGCTATAGCCAATTTCAACCAAAATTCTATACTTTTTTGAACTACTTTGTTTTCCATTTTCTAACACATTATTCCTTAATAATTTCATGCCTTTTTTCAACACTCTACCGGCAGCTGGTTTTTTATATTATGAATTTTTTATGAATGTGTGTGTCTTGATTTGTAAACATATCTGCTCATAGTTTACCGAATCTACTGATTCACTTAAACTTGTCATCTCCTTACCTAAAGTGCTGAGTTAGGTTGACTACGCTGTCGAACCATTTATTTAATATTCACAGTAAAAAATCTATCTATAAAGCATTGTATTCATTTCCATCCCATCTATTATTGACAGCCAGCTTTCCGCACTGTAAAATAAAACAGAATTTACACCAGAACTGAGAATTCTCAAATTTGATTTTTGATTTTTAACAGAGCTGCAAATATTTTAAATGTTGTATACCCTGTAATTTCTTCTGTAATTTTGCTTGAAGTTTACTTCGTGACGTTCTTAATTGCAGTGTTGGAAGAGATTCACTCCTAAACAATTATTTATTACGTGTCCACTTATTCGCCGATGAATCCAATTTCAGCCTGTTTTTCTTTTTGTGTTAGTTATTATCGCCTTTATCCAACTAAGAACAAACTATCAAGGTAGCAGGTGTTTATTTTTGGAGTTGTCTGACCTAAATGAGTAGCATTCCCCTATAAAGGAGCCTATACTGCCCGGGGTTCGAACTCAATACTTCTTGGTCCAACAACCATGATCTTTATCAAGATCAGATGACTCTTTTCGCTTATTTTTATGAGAGATGCTACATTTCTTATTTTAAAAAGGAGTTTCTATCATGTCATTTTTTCTCTGGAAAACTATGGCGTAACAAATTTTCCTAAAAGCATCTTTTAAAGTACACCATTTATTATTTTCCTTTCTGGTGTAAAAGTATGTTGTTTATTACGAAAATGAATTCATGAAAACAGACACTTAAAGTTTGTTTCCCCCAATCCAACAGTGGCAACTATTCTAGCAGTTAAATGTATCTTTAATTTGTAATACTAAAATTTCTTGTTTAGGTTTTTGTAAATGCAAAATCTTATAACAGCTTTTCATGTAAAACACTCGCAGCTAGATAAGGTAGACTTGTACAAGGACAAACAATATTTTTAAAACTGCATTAATTGATTTCAATTTCTTATTACTTTAAATTAAACTTTGATTTTAAAATTACAAGAAGTTTTTTAAGTTTACAATTTATCGCTAGGCTGTGTGTGTGTGTGGTAACGTTTGTAAAATATAATACTTAGATCCCGCATGTCCACATATGTTTAATTTAGATGTTCGGTAATTTTAGCGCAAATTATTGTAAAGTTATATGCCACAATGATAGTTTACTCGAAATATTGATTGTGCAATATTCATAGGAAAAATCCAGCTTGTAAGAACCTGTTGTGGGCATACAGTATAGAAAGTAAGACTTAATAATATTTTTAACATTTAATATAATTTATACCCTTAATCTTGAAAAGGAACACGAATAAAAGATAAAGATAACATGATTATAGAGATTTCCTTTTAGAATGTCGAGTACAGAATAATAATCAAGAAAAACACTGACAAATAATTTTTAAAAAAGAGCGATTTGATAAACAATACAGCGTACTATCAGGCCCTAATGCTCTTCCAGAGAAACACAACCATATACATTCTCACCAATAGACTAGATCAATGAATCCTCTTTGGTTCAGAGTTTTTCTTGTGTTTGAAATAAAGTATTCTGAAGAGACTGTTTCTGCTGGATAAAACACGTGATGTAGCCCCTGTCCCCGACCAAAGGCTTTAGCACCCGGGAATAAAACACCTCCATGACAAGAAAACTTACACATATGAACCCGCATTTAACAAGATTATGAACTGTATTTAAGTTAAGCTCAATGTTCGCAAGATTTACGTTTGGTAATTTAAAATAAATTATTTAGATTGAAAAAAAAAACAAGATATAAATTGCTTTTAGTATACATGCAAAGTAGTAGTGCCTATTAATTATGTATTTCGATGCGTTTTTACATTTAAGTAAAAATAGTTATGTTTCAACTAACACATTTTAGGTATTATATTTTAATACTATGAGTCCTAATTTCAAAATTGCTTAATATTTAGGCATAATTGTTGGTATCGACATTTTTCATAATGTATTATACTATTATTTGTTTTAATTAACGTAAACAATGTTTGTTCACAACTATTAAACCAGTTCAATAACTGTAAATAGTAAATTGTGATAGAGTTGGCTACAATACGAATACACTAACATTACACCAGAATTTTTATCCAAAGCCGATATTAGGCACCCACATTATGTGGTCTTGACAGCAAAGACCAAAGAGGCAGTTCAAGAGACATGGGTCAAATGAATTAAAGTACCATAAAAGAAAGTTTGTGATAATATTAAAAAAACATTAAAACAATAAAAACACTAAAATGAAACACAGTCAGGGTATTTAATTGTATTTTATCATCATTTTTCAGAAGCAGCATATATTTTATAAATAATGTTTAAGCCGTTTATTATGAAATATGACTTTACAAACGTAAATCCCTTGTAAACTTTAGAGTTTAGTTTAATTATCAAACCTGTGTGGTCTTACTAAAGAAAAGATAAAATATACATTTAGATTAGTATGCTTAGATCTATGTTATGGTTGGTATTAAGATAAGAGGTATGCATATAAGTACTTGCAATGTTGGCTATTTAATTTTTTTATATTGCAGAATGAAAATAAATTTTATAATTTAGTTTTTCATAATCTTCAATGTAGGTTAGGACAATTAATGAAACAAAATATATTTTATAATGATGTTTATTAGATTATAAGTTGCCAATGATCTATAACATGTACCCCAAGTAGCTTAAAAGTTTGAGTAACCAGACTCACTTATTTCACAGGTATGACAGATATGGTTACTGGTTACACAGCTGAGCATATAAAACACTCTGGTGTTTTTCCCATGCTATACTGGCAAAGACCCGAGCACCATTCTCGCCACAGTCAGATTGTATAGCCTCCTTTACACACAGCCTTGCTTCTGTAGGGCCTTGGCTTTTTACAAAAAGATTTTGTTTTATATAGTGATTTATGGTTTCAACTAAACCTTACTCAATAAAAAAAAAGACGCCAAATTTAAGTACTGTTTACACGAGAGACAGTCGGTGATTTTTGTAAATACATCGATATAAATTAATAATGTATCGAATCTTTATTTTATACGCATAAACCAGTTGTTTAATTTATAGCTAGATCGCTGTTTTTCAATAATACTCACATTTACATGCAAACTTTAATCCTGGCAAATATACTATAAAAATATAGTTAAATGTTTTTTTATATATGTAAGATTACTGACGTTACAAAGTAGACTTGTATATTTAGGATATCGCATTAATATGTTTTTTTTAATTAAATACGAAACATTTCAAAACGGAAAAGTAATAAAGTGTATATTACTTTTTTAACGCATTAATAGAGTTTTCATTAATTCAAAAAATTAAAATTAAATATTTGCAAAGCTGATTTTTTTAACATAGCGAGGCAGACGAGATTTTAATTTTTTGTTACTGTAATAATTAAGGTTTAAGATGTGGATAATATTTATTTAACGGAAATCTTCCCCCTTATTACACATAAATAAATTCACTTTTAGTACCCTTTTTTGTGTTTTTTTCAGATACATACTTATAACGATATATTGTTGGATTTTGTACGATCTTTGTGTTTTGTTCTAGAATGAATAGAAATGAAAAATTACCTGCACATATTGTTTTCACCATAAAAACCTGTGTCTACAAAACATTATTAAATTTTCATTCATGGTTTTTGTTCATAAGAATGAAAACTGACCACTTCGCTGGGATAGCTCTAAGCAGAACGCCTGAAGGAAAATGAAAGCAAGAAAGGCCAAGGGAGACTTGGAATAGCTTAGACGGAAGCAGCTAACAGAGGTAGTACTGTCATAGGGGGACTGTAAAGAAAATTGCCGGTGACTGACAAAAGTGGAGGGGGCTTTCCATGGCGGCCCCGTGTGTCTTTGGCACGCGAATAAAAAGATAATGATGATGTTTATGATTTTTTTGTTATTTAATATTAGTACACATTTTAAGTATACATTATTGTTTATATCAAATTAAATTATTGCTAATTGATTTTGTTTTTAATATAGATAGATCAGTTTTTGTATTATAATATTTAAATTTTAAAGTTAGAACTTCATATTTAACTGTAATCTCCGTCATAAATTAACAATAATACAATTCTTATTTTGAGAGGAAAACTCCTAACAATATACTGTCTGATTATGTAAGTATCTATGTATTTTGAATCGATAGCAATGGTATACAACCTGCAAATGATGCTGTTAGTGTAAAAACACATGTCTAAAGCATCCTGTAACCTCTCTTTCTTCTCCTCATCAATCGTACACTGCAAAGTTTC